AGTAATAGATCAATAACTGTCATTTGATGAAGAAAACTCGTTGGCAGAAAGAAAAGAATCATCATTGGAGCTCATCTATATGTAATAGAATATATAAAAACAAATAAATAATATAGACCTAAACTATAAGAATAAATAAATTAGTATAATTATAATTATATAACGTAAAAAAATAGTAATAATTTCGATTGCTAAACTGCCATCCCTGTACCACCCGCCAGCTAACACACTCAAAAATTAAAAGACAAAAAATAATACACAAAACAATAAAAAACAAAAATAATTTGCAAGACAACTACAACTAAACTACGTTAAGATTACTAATAATAAATAGCAGAACTTAGAACAAATAAAAAGTATCATAGAGAAGTGTCTCATAGACAACAAATATACTGTGTCCAAAGGACTTTGTATCCATGATCATGTATTAATAAAAAAACCTTCCCAGCGACCGAAAGTTAACTTGCACTATGCACTTGCTACGAATCTATTAATCTATGGACAAAATATAACCAAAAGCAAAACAAATTAATACCAAAACAAATTAGAACTTAACCTAAAATTTAACTAAAATTTAAAGTGAAAATATACAAGTTTTAATAAATGATGTAAAACGAAAAACTATATTAAAATTATAAATTCACTAATTAAAAAAAAATGTAAATAAATGAGAAAGAAAGCTTAACGTTACACAAAAGCAAAACAAGTTTTAGTACAGTGGATAGAAAGTAATAATAAATACTAAGTAATACTACAATATTGAATAAATTTAAAGTTGTAGTAAAAGGAAATAGGAGAATTAAGACAGTAAAACGCAATACTGCGTAGTTATTTACGTGGCTTAGAATTGGGTTGCGACGATAAATTGATTCCTGCAATGGGCTCGCCTCCAGTTGAGGATTCAGCAGTCGTGTTTTTGCGTAAGAGTAGTCAGCTCATCTAAGGTAGATCTGCAACTTTCACCACAATTACTCCATCTTGGGTCCAGCATGCACGCATGCCGAAATGCTGACGGGCTTTGCCAAAAACAGTTTGCCGAGACTTTGTCAAGAACTCCTTTACTGAAACTGGACAACATTTCAGTCTAGACTTCGCCCTCCATACTGATGATCTGAAGTCAACGCTAACAAATCGAACTAGGATTGGCCGGAGACGATTTTTGGTGGCTACTCCAATCCTGTGGCAGACACTAATGCAAAATGATGTGATGTCCTTCAACTCCATTTTGTGAATTATACTTAGCACTGTAGCCTTGCAGTCCTCCTTCTCCTCTTCAGCAACACCCAAGAAAAGAGAGCCTTTCGTCGATGCCTGGTCTCAATAGCGTCAACCATATGGGAGCACTCATTAATTTTTTATATGTTACTAGCGATCCGATTGATATCTGGATTCCACAACAGCGCCACCTACCGGGTCCAACTGTGCCTATAACCTTTGCGGAAGTGCAAGCTTTTAGTTATATTATATCTCACTAACGAATGAACCGATTTTTGTTTTCTGATTTTTGTTTCATTCGACGTCATTCTTTGAGGTTAAGAGCTGATTAGTTTTTGTAATCGATCGGTAAAGCCGTTTAAAAGTTATTCTAAAAAAAACAGTTTTAAAAAAAAATATTTTTGAGATTTCTTAAAATCTACTCGCCCGAATCAGTTTATATTATCACCAAATCTATTCCACATTGAGATCTTTAGAACGCCGCAAATTTCGATCAAGACGTTCAAAAGTTATGAAAGGTTTAAATACTTACACACACACACATACGTACGTACATCCGTACAGAAGTCCACGTGAAATAACTCAGAACAGCTTCCTGGGATCTCAAAACGCCGAGATCTGATGAAAACTCGAAAAACTAAAAAACTCGAAGTGAAAAAAATAACTTGAAAATTTTCAATTTTCCAAGCGGGAATTTAATAAAAAGTAAAAGGCAACTTTAAGAAACTAAAATATTTAAATAATTTCAAACAGTTAAGTCAGAGCTTTAAGTTTTCTATACCCTTTAACAATATTTCTTAACCAGTGGTCTATAATATGTATATGTACGGGGGTCTGCGGTCTTTCTCTAGGCTATATAAATATTTTTTTATTATTCTAAGCCAGCGCTTAACTACAATCCCACGCAACTGACTTAACAAAAACCTATTCACACTTGTCTAAAAGACACCCACTCTGTAATCGGATTGAAAGTCAGACAATATAATAAATAAATGTAACCAAAAGTAAAAATACAGAAACAAACTCTATTTGAGAATACCACTTTGTAGTAACATCGACTAACAACTTTGTAGTCGAAGTTACGACAAAGTTGTACACAAAATACGTATTTATTTATGTGAAAATAAGAAATATTTGTTTTTATTTGATGTATAAAATTTTCTTGCTGTTTTTTTTATTAAAAGGGTTCTTAATAATCGCGCTTGGTTACCTAGGGGGCTGGAAAAGGTTGGGAAACGCTGAAACACTATATCTCAGTATTGAAACAAAAACCAAAAATTATTTTATTATTTTCAATTCTTTGGGATGGACTTTAACTTTTTATTTAAAGTTATTATTTTTTTGGATCTGCAATATATTATTACTACGTTTTTACTAAGTCGCTTTCTTGTTCGTCTGTCTGTCGTTCAGGGTGGAATTTTGCAACTCAAATTTCAAGCACTTTCTCGATTGGCAATCCGTCTGAATTTTTCAGAGTAGCTCATAGCTCGATGACAATGCATTTTAAATCCATTTTTTTATTCGCTTCGATTTCGTGATGTCTGTTTGGCTGGAATTTATATGAATAGGCTTGAAGTTCACTTGTTATTTTAGACAGCCCCAGTAAAAAAAATCTAGTGGATTTAAGACCGGGGATCGCGGAGGCCACAAAATGTGACCTAAATAAGTAAACGACCAATACATTTATTTGGATACGTGGCATTTAAATACACAGGGTCGTTTGCAGCATAATGTGTAGGACAACCATCATTTTGTAACCAGTGGTATTGTCTCACCTACTCGGGCATCTCTTCCATTAAATTTGGCAGATCATTTTGTAGAAAATTCAAATAACTTTGTCCAGATAAGTTTCCGGGAAGTTTAAATGAATTACTTGTAATATTGATGATAAAACACAAGGTAGGTATATTAAATTTTTGGACAAATTTAAAAAAAAACTTTTTTAAACTTATCAACTTCGTATCCATTAAAATACAAGATGTAGACTGCAAGAATGTTTTGCTTGTTCCAATGTATATTAAAATTTGAACCAATTGTCCGTACTTGTTTATAAATAGACTTACCTATTCAAATTAGACTTAAATATTCTAAACTTCACGTTACACACAAACTAAACATTACACAACCGTCAAATGGTAGTTGTTTTATTTATACACCTTATCAGTATATTATGTTAATATACAATATTATCTATTAAGGCTTAAAAACAACAGCAATATACAATCCAATCCGATAAATCATCTCCTGACCGAATTTTGGTCACGGCGGCCAATTTCAATGGAAATTAGCCATCTTTCCGGAACATAATTGAAGAGTGTTTGAGCAAGCACTAGAGTGCAATTGGGCATCCTCCTTCCTCACTCCGGGCTGATACATTGAATTTCTTGACAGCAAAACCTAATAAATATTTTTATTCGACCCGGGATTCGAACCTACGACCACATGGTAATCAGTTGCGCTTACAACCCTTAAACCAACTATACATCTTACGTCATATGGTTACACATTGGTATTATAACTCAAGTTATTACTAACAAATATTATGTCAAATAGTATGTTAGAACACCTTATGTAACAATGTATTTTCACAATTTTGAGAAATTACAAAAGTATGCTTCCATGAACATATGTAATCAAAAAATAAAATAGTACTACGTTTTAATAAAGACTAATAATTTAATTACAGTTATTACTTATTGATGAAATATTATGACTGTGAATTATTGCTTAATCGATATATTTAAAACAATGTTACTAGTAACGTAAAATTGACGACTCCGTGGCGCAGTGGCTTAGCAATGAGTGGCTGCGCTGGGGGTCGCGGGTTCGAATCCCGCACGGATCAAATATTTGTATGGCCTACAAATAGTTGTTCCGGGTCTGGATGTTTGTCCTTGTGCAATTTATGTTTGTAAACTCCCCTCATTTTGTAACGTTTAAAAAAAAAACAAAACAAAACAAAATACTTCAAGTAAGTATACATTTTCATTGCATCATCATTTAATTTATTATCATCATTATAGCCTATCAAAAGTCTATGGCTTAGATTGCTTAATAGACAGGATTTTGCCAAAGTTACCACACTAGGCAGGCGAGTTGGTAAGCAAAATATTTTTTTTATTTGTCACCGGGAGTATACCGCTGCCCATCTCTTGTTTAAATTTCTGGAGTAGTGTATCGTCTCACGTTGCCATTACATATTACGTTTTGTTTTTATAGAATAAGAGTGACAAACAAGCACTCAGTTCACACATCTACGATTGACAAATAAAAATGGAGATGCGTAGTCACACCTGAGGACAGAAATAGAATAACTTGTTTCCAATAAAACGTGTCTATACTCACCATGTACACATCAGAATTAAGCTGTTATTTTACGCTGGTATTCTGTTAGAGCGAGGTCCTTTCCCGATCGAGCCTACCCCATCGTTAAAATAATATACAAATAAATTAATTTAATTTTTCCACAAAACCTACACTAATTGACGTAACTTGCAAATCATTCCGTTCATTGTCCCTTTTGTGCACGGGTTTTAACGACTATCGTTAATTTCATTACCAAACAATCAAAACTTTACGACTTATTCATACCAAAACCTGATATGTGGTTCTAACAATAACCCGCTTTAGCATGCACGTCTGTATTCATAAACTTAATTAAAAAACATATCACGTACTCTAAACGCGTGATGACACAAGCAAACAAAACACTAAGGAAAATTTAAAAAATATTTATTAAAATACTGATTTATAAATATAGGCTTATGTACATCTAAAATATCACTTTAGGGTTGGTTTTCGATTCCATGGGGAATGACGTTATCTTTTTCGGTTATGTCTTCGCGGTCTGATGGCGTCGTCAATTCCTTCTTCTCTCCCTCGTTTTCAGCTGCCGGTAGCGCTGTTGGAGACGGTTCACTACCTTTTTCCACGCCCGATGTTTCTTCTTTGTTATACGGCGCTCCAACTTCAGTGATAGTCACCTCCCGATCGACAGGTTCCTTATCACCGGCCCCATTAAACGGCGCAGTAACGACTAGGAAACCGTCACTGTAGAGCTCCGCTGTGACGTCAGCAGCACTAGCGTTGACCGGCAAGGAGTAAGTGTGGAAGAACTGGCTGGCGAACACATCCTTGTCGTCGTGAGTCGCTTCGTGTGATCCTTGGACAAAGATAAAGTCGTCTTTGAGTTTCACTTTCAGATCGTTCTTCTTGTAGTTCTTGGCATTAACAACGACCTTGAACTTTTCATTATCAGCCGTTATCTTTGGACCAATGTCGGCGAAACTTGGAATTAGTTTCCATACGGAACTGAACAAGCTATCCCACGGTCCTCTAAACCATGATGAAAAATCGTCCACTTCATCACCGATTGTTGTGATAGGTTGCGGAAATAATGATGGATTGTCGGAAACCGGTATAGCGGTTACGGCTGCCAGTAAGGCGAAAGCCGCAAGAAATTGCGGTGAAAACATTTTTCTCGTGTATAACGTGCGCGCTCACTTGCTTTGTAATAAAAACTGCCTGCAGCGCGGGAGTTGTAGGCTATATACATGAAGAGGGGGGGCGAGGGGCAACACATCACTGACCACTAATGATGGCGTCGCTCGATGTAAAACGTAGACGTGAAACAATGTGTTAAATCGTGCGTTGTCTCTGAGAGACAGCAAATTCTGAAGTTTGTTTTGATAAATATAAAATTAAGTATATATGTGCAGTATGTACGAAAAAATATTTTAATTTTAATTTTAAACTTTCAATAATAGTATTTTTCCACATAATTAACAAAGTTATGACATAGTTATAAAAGGTGATAGGTTAAAGGTTCTATATATATATATATTTATATATATATATATATATATATATATATATATATATATATCATTAGAGCCCTACACAAGTCCACTGCTCCAAGTCACAAGTCCAAGGAATGTCTCAAAGCACGGTCCTGAGCCACCTGCATCCATCGAATTCCTGCAATGTCTTACCAGGTCGTCACTCCATCTAGTGACCCTAGAGGCCCCGAGGTCACCCTATACTTCGCCTACCGGTATGAGGCTTCCAATAGAGAAGTTACACAACCTTTTTCTTAACATTGAGCGGCTTCGCTTGGTGGAAAATCAATACATTAACTCTGAACCCAAATTAAAATGTGGGAGAGCATGATGATATGGATAAACTTTTTGAGAATTAGTCCAATAGTGGAATTAATAAGCTTGATGTGTGAATGTAAAAAATATAAAGTAAATTTACAGACTATATTTTATAGTCCCACTAGAGTGCACAAACCTTCTTTCATTTCTCATTCATTTCAAAAGTAAATTTTTCATGTCCTCGAAATATTTTATTTCTCAGGCATGCAGATTTTCTCACAACGTGTTATTTCAATTCTGATTAAGTGAAAAATCAGTGTTTAAAAACAAAAATTATATTATACGCTGACACCAATGAAACCGACGAGTATAGAATCCGCGCTGCTTTGCACGTACTTTGATATTTAAGGCGACTTTTTAGCCACTGACCTACCACGACTACATTATGTAATACGATTCTGTTTTTAAGACCAGATATTACAAAACAAATAATTATTTTCATTCAAATGTGTAGGCAAAAAACGAAATAAAATCAAAGCATTGTCCGTTCTTATTCTTGAAAATCAACAACAAACACTTTGCTCATTAGCCTTCAAAGGCCGGCTTCTAGAGTTCTCTTCAACGACGCGAATTAGCTCATTTTTTCCCGTCACGAACGTGAATCAAACACTATTATCATTTCTTAAGTACGTGATATTAAACTATATGCAAGCATTATGTGAGTTTATGCATTTTATCATAACGCGATATTATTATCCGCTTTTCGCTTTACGTGCGAATATTTAAAGACCGTACGGTTATCATTGTTTACCTATATATTGTAAAATTTTAATAAATTTTAATTTCATTTTCCTGGCATTTAACACCGGAAATCAAACGTAATACAGAATTTTTAGCTTAATATATTATATTCACACAAAACGTGTAAATAATCGTTACGTGTAACTAATCTCGTGTCTTGCGGGCGATTTATATATTACATCATTTGAAACATAAATTCAAGTCAAGAATGTCACTAATGTTTTTGCTATTTTTTCGAAAAAAAGTTATGTTCTGTAAAAACCCAATAGATTTCTTTCTTTGTTTTTTAAAAAAAACAACAATATTTATTACGTTGTACCTACAATTAATTATTTTTAAAAGCACGTGAACGTAAAAAGTACCTTGCATATGTTTTGGTACCTACTTTTTTGTGAGTGACATAGGTATCTTGCCCTTTAAATTAATTAAACAATGACTGTTGAGTCGTGTGACTGGTATTACTAAATTATGTTTATTCCTAGAACTAATATTACAAAATATATTACATAACGTATATCACCTTTTTATATTCGTTTTACTTTTAATATAAAGAAGACAAAGTTAATATAAATACATATTTCTTTATATTATTATTGAGCAAATGAACCATGCAGTGGCGGTATAAGAATATCCATCACTCCATATCGCTCCGTGGGTTTCGTAATATGCATCAGAGGCAAACAAACCAAGAGATGAGCAGCATTGTCATTCTAATAACAACTAAGTAGAAGTTTAAAATACTTCGGTTGCCATTTATTTAAAGTAATTCGAAGTTTAGTGGTCGAAAGAGTGACTGCTGAAGCTGTGGTTGCGGGTCACGGACGGACCAAAAATCACTTATAAAATTTTCGTCAAGAAATTCTGACGAAACCATTTCGCATAGGCCCATTGGCATCATTGTATTGCCTCGATGCCTCAAAAAGTACGTAAAGCCGTTGGTCCTGCGCCTGATCTCTTTCCGGTCGTGTCGGTTGCGGTCCCATCGGACTATGAGTTTGAGGGAATAAACAGTGTGTTTGCGAATACACTCTGATACTATAACTCTGTCCTGTGCAAATGGTTAATCTACTTTGGGACTTGCCGGGGTCACCAAAATTCGGTCTGGAGGAGATTATTATTGCTATATGCACGTTCGTCACCTATCCTTCTATATAAAAGAATACATTCATTTCATACGAATAAATCAATAAAGTGCATTACTCAATAGCAATCGAAACCAATTAAATGCTGATAAAACATAAACGTTGTGATCAAACGTTGGAGTAATCGTTGTATATTCGATCAGAGTACTGGTTAACAAAACTGTGAGTGCGTAACATACCATATATTCTTACACCAATGTTATTTGCTCACACCAAATATTTGGCATTCTTTGTCAAAGTTAATTTTTGCAGGCCGTTGATGGAAGTTAATCGGATGCTCTTAAGTTATCGTGATAATATTAAACCTGAGCTTATGTCTTACTTTTTTATAATTAAAAAAAATTCATTCATTAATAGTGGCCTATAAATAGATCTCTGAACTCATTGTCTATAGATTGATCATAGAGTTTGCTATAGTTGCTACGCTAAGCAGCCGGATTGGCAAGCGCAGTATTTTATTATTTTGAAACGTTATCAAGAAGATATACTGTTTTTTTTTCTCTCTATCGCTTCTTACGACAACCATGTCTATGTATGTGTAAGTGGATTCTTTTTTTAAATATAATAAGGATGACAAACAAGCACACAGTCCGCCATCGGGTGCTATATTACGCTATTTTACGCTGGTATTCTATAAGAGCGTGGTCCTACGCTGCGCTGATTGAGCCGTCCCATTTGTACTACAACCGTAGTACAAATGGGACGGCATAGTAGTATCTGCAACACGGCTCTACTACGTATAAAATTTTTCTTTTCTTTTACTTCATCAATATATCGCGATATGCCTTACAAATAAAATAAAAATAATTTCCATGATAATTATCTACCATCAAACCATTTCGCAATGACACTTCATACAAAGTTACGATGTTTTCCTAGGTACTTGTGACCGGAATAACAGTGTAAAAACTTAGCCAATAAACCACAAGGAGCACTGAATATGTTATGTAAATAAAATAAAACAGTTGTTTTGCAATTGTTATTGGTAAGAAGCGAAGAAAAGAAGAGTAAAGATTTTTTCCATGAATGTTATCTTTTATTTACCTACATTATATTAAAAATAAGTATTGCAATATTTGCTAGCAAATGACTCCCAGCACTTGACTACGTCATATGATGCCTCATCTGATAAACATGCGGTGCTCCAGTGCGTTTTTATGGACTTAATTTATAACATTATTACGAATAACAAAAATACAATATTGCTCAACCAGTTCGCTGTGGAAAATTTCGATACTTTAATAAAAAAATAACGTGTATATTATAAGCAGCTGTTTTCGTATCCTAAATAAAATTATGCTTTATTTATTGTCAACTAGTGAAAAACACATTTAAAAACCTCAGCAGTACCACTGTGGTAGCACAGTTTGGTTTAAACTCAACGGACTTTCATGTAAGAAAACTGCTAGTAGGTTTTCACGGCACGGTTCTTTGAAAGATGTCGTCCGAAGGACTCTTGTTTCTATAAATGTTCCCACGATTTTAGAGTCTTGAGGAATATTTAGAGACGATGACTAGAGACCCGATGATATGAAACTGGTCCTTTGGGAAAGAGGTAAAGCCCTAGTGTTGGATGCTATTTGCGTAGACACTTTGACTGGCTCTCATCTGAGGGGTTCCTCGTTATAGTCAAGGCGGCCTCATAGGCGGCTGAACTAATTAACTGGCGCAATAATGTGTCTCTGAGAGATGACTACATATTTGAGTCATTTGTTGTAGAGACTATCGGTCCGTGGGGTTCACGTGCGGCAACGTTCTTGAAGGAAGTTTATCGGCGACTGGTCATCGCTCCTGGTGATAAGATGGCTGGTTCTTTTCTTGCTCAAAAACCAAATTTTTTTTATTTTTTTTTATAGGATAGGGTGACAAACGAGCACACAATCCACCTGATGGATAGTGGTTGCTGCGGCCTATAGACATCTACATCCATCTTCCATTACAAATCAAAATGCAGATGCGTTGTCACCCGTGAGGACTAAGATGGAATGCCTCATTTCCAGTAAAAAGGGTACGGTGAAACCTTATATCTTTGCCCACATATTTCGGTTTTTATTACTTTTTCAAAAAATAGTTACTTTATTTTGATGGTTGCTGAAGCTTTAAACGACACTCTATGCAACAAATAAACTGTCAAAACCGGATGACATAATTCCTAACAGATGCTGAGAAAAAAACAAAAACAGACGAGGGCAAAGTTATCTCCACTTTCTTACATATTTGCTCAACCTAAATTTCTCAGCAACTATAAGATCTATGACTTTGATTTTAAAATATATTGTTAGCAAATCGGCAAAATTGTATACCATTACATTTTCAAATAAATAGAAGTCCATTTTAAGTTTTAATGGCGGTGGGCAATGTTATCACCACATTTAGTCACACTTTCATACTAAGAGATTGTAGTTGCTAGGGCTGTGTATCAGATGAAAGAAAAAT